AACTGTGAACATTTGTGGCTACATTTAGCTGAAAATGCAGAAAAAGCTGAATATATTATTAGCTGAATGGTCTCTGTAGCTGCTTTTAGCTACCAAAACCAAATAAGTGTGTTGCTGAACTTAGCGGAGAAATGCAGAAAAGTGAAATGATTTGAATAAAATTGTTAAAGTTCAAATGCATTGCAATGACTTTCTTGAAAACTTGAAAGTGAAATGTTAAACTGGAAAATGAGGAGAAATAGTGAAGAAGCTTAATATTTAAAAGAAAAGGTTTAAAAAAGGTATAAACAACTAAATGTATAGCCTCAATGTCCTGAAATAGCTGAATAATTTAATAGTTGAATGGTTTCTGCAGCTGAAAATAGGCTGAAGGAGTTAGATATTAAATGTAAGTAGTAGTGAATGAATGTGTATTAAGAAGACAAAAGAAAGTAAAAACGCTTTGAAAAGCAGCAGAATATTTTAACTGCAAACTTTTGAACTAAAACCAAACGTCACCAATAATGTATAAAATATGCGGAACGTGTTGAAGTCAGTATGAAGTCTCCATCAGACAGAAAATAATAGGCTGAGACAGTCTGTTAAACTCCAGTCTGTGTGTTTGTGTTTGAGGTGACAACATTATCAAACACCTGTGTGGGCCCAGAGATCAAAGGTTACCATGGTGATGTGCAGTGATCAGTGAAAGGAGAGCCTTTCCATTGTTCTGAATGAGAAATAAACCTCTTACATTTTTAACTATAGTTAAAAAACGGTAGCTGCTATCGGTAAAATGTCAACACGTGGAGCATGTCAGGACCCTGAGGAGCGTCTCAGTGTGCTTTGTGTGTACTTTCAGGTCACTTTTCGGGAGCACTTTAACCAGGAAATTAATTTGACCACTTCCTGTTAATGTCAATAATTTTTCTGGTTAGATGCCTGAAATGAGATCTGTGGTTAAGTTTTAGACATTTTCACGTTTTGTTCTACGACATAAAATGCGTCAGTAAATACTCAACTGGTGAATATCTGAACAGAGGTTGCTAACAAGTGGCTAAATGAGACTGCTAAGCATCATCACACCAAACTTTAGCCGTCTTTAGCTTAGCAGTAGTGATGTGCAGCAATACACGGGTCCATCCATCCATCCATCTTCTCCCGCTTATCCGTGGTCGGGTCGCGGGGGTAGCAGTTCCAGCAGAGAGCCCCAAACTTTCTTTTCCCTGGCCACATCAACCAGCTCTGACTGGGGGATCCCAAGGCGCTCCCAGGCCAGCGAAGAGATATAATCCCTCCACCTGGTCCTAGGTCTACCCCTTGGTCTCTTCCCAGCTGGACGTGCCTGGAACACCTCCCTAGGGAGGCGCCCAGGTGGCATCCTAACTAGGTGCCCGAACCACCTCAACTGGCTCCTTTCGACGCGAAGGAGGAGCGGCTGAACTCCGAGTCCCTCCCTGATGACCGAACTTCTCACCTTATCCCTAAGGGAGACACCAGCCACCCTGCGGAGAAAACCCATCTCGGCCGCTTGTATCCGCGATCTCGTTCTTTCGGTCATGACCCATCCTTCATGACCATAGGTGAGGGTAGGAACGAAAATGGCCCGGAAGACAGATAGCTTTGCCTTCTGGCTCAGCTCCCTTTTCGTCACGGTGTGGTAAAGCGACTGCAGTACCGCTCCCGCTGCTCCGATTCTCCGGCCCATCTCACGCTCCATTGTTCCCTCACTCGAGAACAAGACCCCGAGATACTTGAACTCCTTCACTTGGGGTAAGGACTCATTCCCTACTTGGAGTGGACAGTCCATCGGTTTCCTGCTGAGAACCATGGCCTCAGATTTGGAGGTGCTGATCCTCATCCCAGCCGCTTCACACTCGGTTGCGAACCGATCCAGTGAGTGCTGAAGGTCACAGACCGATGAAGCCATTAGAACCACATCATCTGCAAAAAGCAGTGGTGCAATCCTTAGTCCACCGAACTGCAGACCCCCTCCCCCATGACTACGCCTCGAAATCCGATCCATGTATATTACAAACAGGATTGGTGACAAAGCGCAGCCCTGGCGGAGGCCAACCCTCACCGGAAATGGGTCCGACTTACTGCCGAGGACCCGGACACAGCTCTCGCTTTGGGAGTACAGAGATTGGATGGCCCTGAGTAGAGACCCCCTCACCCCATACTCCCGCAGCACCTCCCACAGTAACTCCCTGGGAACTCGGTCATACGCCTTCTCCAAGTCTACAAAACACATGTAGACCGGATAAGCGTACTCCCAGGCCCCCTCCAGGATCCTTGCGAGAGTAAAAAGCTGATCCGTCGTTCCACGACCAGGACGGAATCCGCATTGTTCCTCCTCAATCTGAGGTTCGACAATCGGCCTGACCCTCCTTTCGAGTACCTGAGAGTAAACTTTCCCGGGGAGGCTGAGTAGTGTGATGCCTCTGTAATTGGCACACACCCTCTGATCCCCCTTTTTAAAAAGGGGAACCACCACCCCGGTCTGCCACTCCTTCGGTACTGTTTCCGACTTCCACGCAACGTTGATGAGCCGTGTCAACCATGACAGTCCCTCAACACCCAGAGCCTTCAGCATTTCCGGGCGGATCTCATCCACCCCCGGGGCTTTGCCACTGTGGAGTTGTTTGACGACCTCAGTGACCTCCCCCCGGGAGATTGGTGTTGATCCCCCGTCATACTCCAGCTCTGCCTCTAACATAGAGGGCGGAGTTGTCGGGTTCAGGAGTTCCTCAAAGTGTTCCTTCCAACGCCCTAACACTCCATCAGTTGAGGTCAACAACGTCCCATCCTTACTGTACACAGCTTGGATGGTTCCCTGCTTCCCCCTCCTGAGGTGTCGGACAGTTTTCCAGAACAACTTTGGTGCCGCCCGAAAGTCCTTCTCCATGTCTTCTCCGAACTTCTCCCACACCCGCTGCTTTGCCTCGGCCACGGATGAGGCTGCTGCCCTTCGGGCCTGTCGGTACCTTGCAACTGCCTCGGGAGTCCCCCGGGATAACAAATCCCTGAAGGCCTCCTTCTTCAGTCGGACGGCTTCCCTGACCACCGGTGTCCACCAGGAGGTTCGAGGGTTACCGCCCCTTGAGGCACCTTGAGACCACAGCTCCCCGCCGCGGCTTCGGCAATAGAGGCTTTGAACACCGACCACTCTGGTTCAATGTCCCCAACCTCCACAGGAATGCCCGAAAAGCTCCGCCGGAGGTGTGAGTTGAAGGCCTCCTGAACTTGGGCCTCCTCCAGACGTTCCCAGTTCACCCGAACTACACGTTTGGGCTTACCAGGTCTATCCAGAGGCTTCCCCCGCCACTCGACCCAACTCACCACCAGATGGTGATCAGTTGACAACTCCGCCCCTCTCTTTACCCGAGTGTCCAAAACATACGGCCTCAGGTCCGATGATACGATAACGAAATCGATCATGGACCCTCTGCCTAGGGTGCTCTGGTACCACGTACACTTATGAGCATCCTTATGTTCGAACATGGTGTTTGTTATGGCCAATCCATGACTAGCACAGAAGTCCAGTAACAAACCACCACTCCGGTTCAGATCAGGGGGGCCGTTCCTCCCAATCACGCCCCTCCAAGTGTCTCCATCATTGCCCATGTGCGTTGAAGTCTCCCAGCAAGATTAAAGAGTCCCCTTCAGGAGCCCCATACAGGACTCTTTCCAGGGTCTCCAAGAAGGCCGTATACTCTGAACTGCTGTTGGGTGCATAAGCACACACAACAGTCAGAGTTTTCCCCCCCATAACCCGCAGGCGTAGGGAGGCGACCCTCTCGTCCACTGGGGTAAACTCCAACAACGAAGCACCTAACCGGGGACTTGTGAGTATCCCCACACCCGCCCGGCGCCTCACACCTTGAGCAACTCCGGAGAAGAATAGAGTCCAACCCCTATCCAGAAGTAAGGTTCCAGAGCCGACGCTGTGCGTAGAGGTGAGCCCAACCAGATCCAACTGGTAACGCTCCACCTTCCGCACAAGCTCCGGCTCCTTCCCCCCCAGAGAGGTGACGTTCCACGTCCCCAAAGCCAGCTTCTGTCGCCCGGGTCTGGTCCGTCGAGACCCTCCGCTTTCACTGCCACCCTTCTGGCAGCGCACCCGACCCCATCGATGTTTCCCGTAGGTGGTGGGCCCGCGGGACGGAGAAGCGGAGGTGTTGCCCACGTTGCCTTTTCGGGCAATACACGGGTATATAATATATATATAGTATATATAATATACAGGTTGTAGTTCCTTTATATCCTGACGTTAGCTTGTTACTAACTCTGCCGATTGCTTTTACGCTTCATAAAACACACAATAGTGTTACTATGTGGAGACTATCCTGCTGCACAGAACCTCTATCATAAACCTGAGTTTGCCAAATCTTGTTTTCTGCAACATTCTGAAATCCAATAGAAAAATTGCATTGCTTTTTGTCGAGGGACCCCTTGAGATGCTAACTTCCAGAAAAATAACGAAATAAATATGTCACCACTGCACTACCTAATTCCTGCACAGATTTCCCACCATGTACTTCTTCATACGTCAGACAAATTATTCCTGCTCTAAAAAAAATAACAAAAATTAAATTGATGGGTCAAAAACTAAATAAAATAAAAACTTGAAATTCCAAACCAAACCACAAGTTTGACCATCATTTCAATAATCATCTTATTTTCCACATACTTACTTTAATTCATCGTTTTGTATGCAAAATGTATTGCAACTACCAAACATTAATCTGTTACACGTTACCTTACATTTGGCTGTTTATGAAATGGTAAAATGTTCTTAGCAAGATGTTTATTTCTAGTTTAGTATTTTCCCAGTGTGAGAACTTTTACCTCAGTAAAGGATCTGAGTACTTATTTCATTACTGCTTGTTTCACACGTGTTTTTTTCTTTATAAGCACAGCTCTGTGACCTTTCCTTCATCTTTCTCCCATAAAACAGAAGGCGACGTTGACACTATCACGGTTCAGGTTGTGTGACTGTATGTGTGTTGAGTTTTTCTTACTTGTCGAGTGAGCTCTTGTTCTTCCTTTGCTCTTCGGTCTCAGCATACTGACATTCAGTGTTAATCTTCTTTTCCCAGAACGTCTTAATGTGCATTCTGTCATGGATCTTAGCCACATTCATCTGCAACAACACAACAGCGATCGTCAGGGTTTAAAAAAGCATCCAGAAAACTATGATCGATTACCAATAAAATATAGTAGGTAACATTATCCAAGTATCACAATATTGAAGTGACAGAAATAGATTATTTCCCTTTACTTAAAGAATACCTCAATGCTAAATATAGAAATGAAACCCAAGGAAAAATGCTGAAATTGAAACATTATTTTTGTATAAAATCAAAAAACAGATTTCCTTCCAGCTGTGAACATTTAATTATCATCCTCCAATAAATGAAATAATTTGGCTGGTTAGTTACATTGAGGCAGCAGTTACTTTAATTTGATTAACCGTCATGCCATTAACCCATTTGTCCTGTATTATGTTTGCTGGATAAGTAAATCAAAGTGGTTTGCTGTGTGATAACTTGCATTGTACTGTGATGTTGTAAATCGTTTTGACCTAACTTTTCTTTGACTGAATTTAAGTATTCTTCACTTGTAAACAGTGATGTCATATATTGTACTGTGATCTTGACCTTTTGCTAATTTGCATAATTTTGCCTGATGAAGATCTAGTAACGAAACCTCCCAAATAAAACTTATTTTTGCTAGTTAGACAGTGTGTGGGATTTTATTTTCAAACGGTAAGTTTCACTTTAACATATTTGCTATAAGTTCTATTACACTGAGATTATGGTAATACTACTGCCACAAGAACAGGTGACAAATAATACATATCTTCTAGAAAAAGTATCAATACCACATCATGAAAACACTCCATTGCAATAAAAAAACTGCACTTATAATCACGCAGATATATCAAAAAATCAATCTGCATTGAAAAACATATTCGTTGTGCAGTTGAACTACTTCATTCACAATTTTGAGTTTGAAAGTAGAAGTTGCAGTACTGTTCCTGTCATGGCAATGATATATCCATTTTTACTTTTCAAAACAATTCACATTATTCGTATAGCTGTTAGAGATGATACAATAAATACTTTAAGTATATAACTGTATGTATGTATTATATTATTAGATGTTTTTTAATTCTATCATAATAATGTACATTTGAGTCCATCATGACTTCACACAGCTCACACACTGGACTGTGAAAGAGTTAATGAATATTTAATTAGTTTAAAACATGTAGGGACATATTTGACTTTAGTTAAGACTCATTAAGGATGCAGAAAAGCAGACTTATCATATATTTTCAATAAATAACTATCTTTTCAACACAGAAATATAAAAATGACATTTAGATTTTTTTTTCAGAATAACTCATTAAAAAAGAGAACAAACCTTCAGAGATTCAGTTGAGCCTCCGTCAGCCTCACGGGGTGGACGATGTGTGTGTGTGTGTGTGTGTGTGTGTGTGTGTGTGTGTGTGTGTGTGTGTGTGTGTGTGTGTCCCTCCCCACTCAGTAGGAATAAATATTTTACATGTGAAACTCCTGTCAGTCTGTAAATCTGTCAGTGAATCTGCTCATGTATTCCTCTCTCTCTCTCTCTCTCTCTCTCTCTCTCTCTCTCTCTCTCTCTCTCTCTCTGTTCTATCCAACGCTCTCTCATCCATCTCTATCTCTCTCTCCAGTGAAGTCACTGGGCTGGAATCTGACTGAGTGCAGGGACCCTGAGTGACAGACATGGGCGAACAGAGAGAGATGGAGAGAAAACAGAAGGGAGAGATCAGGGTGTTGGTTAAAGTCACTTCTGATTGGCTGATGAAGCAGTTGTAGTATTAATAATCGCACTTCGAGCGATAGAATTACTAACAAAGAACTGCTAACAGAGCACTTATATACTAATAAAGGACAGGCTTATCTAAAGCCAGTTGAGGAGCACTTGAAATGTTTGGCTCTATGAAACCTGATGTACTTATATGATTCTGTTTTCTTCAAGGTTGTATCTTCCTGGTCGAATGTACTTATTGTGAGTTGCTTTGGATAAAAGCGTCAGCTAAATGTAATGTAATAAACCTGTGTGAAGCAGTTTTCTAGCGTTGTCTCCTGCTAGCACACGCATCTCTAAACAGTCACCTTTCATGAGTTTCTTAAAAAAACAGCCCTGTTTTCAGCTTTGTGACAACGTTTTACTAGTTTAATTCACACTACCTAAATTCACTTTACAACATTTCATTCTAATGAAATAACTACATTAGCTAACTTAACGCAAACTTGCTGGTGCATGCGGGATATGATCATCAACAAGCGACCAGAAGAAGCACAACGTTAACTTGATGAAAAGATTTCTCTGGGTATCAAACATTGTTGGTGACATTTTGTATTATGAAAGCACAGCTCAATAAAATATATAACAAGGGTCTTTTCCTTTTTAGATATCATAATGCCGAAATGTTATATATTACACCTTGAAAGGGACCCTCTTATTCTTTTTGGGGTCTTCCCTTTTCCTGTAGTGTGTTTGCATGTTAATGGTCTGCAAAGGCAAACCCCCCTGTGCTCCCTCCAGAGGGAATTTCTCTCACCCCCCCCTACACAGTTAGTTAGTTAACACTAACATAGTGACATCATCGTGCTACTATAGGGGTTGACCAATCACAACAGAGCCGGCCAGCTAACCAATCAGAGCAGACTGGGCTCTGGTTTCAGACAGAGGGTGAAAAGAGGTGCTGCAGCACAGGCAGTATGAGAAAAATAAAGAGCTTTTTGAACATTAAAGCACGGAGACATGTCACAGTAGAGACACTACATACTGATATGAAGCTGAAGATGAGCAGAATATGTCCTCTTTGACGTACTGTATGAAAAATCAGTTTATCCTTCAGTTTAGCACAAACTTTCAAAGTCAACACATCTGGAGATACAAAGTTTTCACAAGACAAGTGATGTTGAAGAAAACACTTATTTTGAAAAAAAACTCACAAATATAGTGGAGTAGAAAGACCAATCATTAGCTCTGAGATTTAGTGGAGTAACTCTATATAATGTGCAAGAAATGGTAGTAAAGAGTACGAGGTATTGTAAGTAATGTGAGGATTGGTACATGTGTTTTTATGTTTGTTTAAAATAAATATAAGCCTTTCCAGAGGGAGCTGGGAGACGATAAATGGACTCCTTCAGATCCTCAGCTGTATACAGGAAGCCTGATAAAGTGAACAGGAACCACAGGACGAGCTGAAGACATCACACTGACACCACACCTCTTAAAGGCCACATTCTGCTGCTCAGATGTTGTAGGACACCCATGTGTGAATAGAAGCTCAGAACATTAGACCGCATGACATGTATGATCGGGCGTCAATCATCTCCGACGCACACACACACACACACACACACACACACACACACACACACACACACACACACACATACACACACACAACACACACACACACACACACACACACACACACACACACCGTCACACACACTCTCAGAAATCTCTCTGCTGCCTGACAGCTGTAACATGTTGAAGCATTGAAGAAAAATAACACAAAGGCGTGTGTGTGTGTGTGTCAGCTGGTTGATAATAAATGTTTGACATTTCATCCCTCTCGGGGTGTGATATGATGCTGCTAAAATGCACACACCACACACACACACACACACACACACACACACACACACACACACACACACACACACACACACACACACACACACACACACACACACACACACACACACACACACACACACACACACACACAAACACATTCCATTCTCATGGAGTTATGCGACTCTCAATAGGTGCTGCTTTGGTGTTTGGTGCATACATAAACACAATAAAATAATTCAGTTGTACAGGAAAAGGAACAATTACTGTATATTATATATTATTTTAAAAACTATAATAAAATGTGCAGTGTAATTATACCTAAAGTCTTGATAATAAAAAAGGAGATATTGGACAGGATCACCACTGCAGGAACAGATAGCGCTTTCAGTATGATAGCAGCAGAGATAATAAGCCCTGTGTAGCCAATCCGCAGCTCTCTGTGACAGCGGCGTTGTCCATGCTTTAGCTCAGTGGTTCTCAAACTTTTTTCAATCATGTACCCCCTTTGAAAAAAAATTCAGCCACGTACCCCCTGATCAGCGCAAAAACAATTTGTTAAGGAAAAAAAGCCTATATAAAGAGGTACAGTGCAGCGCTGCACCATCAGTGTCTGATTTATTAAAACAACAACATTGTAACTGAGAAACACTTTAATGCTACATTTCAAATGTTTACAATCCATCACTAAATTCATGGCAAACCAATTTTAACATCATGCAATAACACTGAGACGACATTAGTTGCATTGAACTGATCTTTTTAATAAGTTGTACTTACAATGTAGTGAGACATGGGCTTGAGCTTCACTGAGGATCTTTGTCATTCTGACAGGGAGGCAAACTGCAGTTATTACACTTTGCGTTTTGAAATGTGTGTAACTCTGTTAATATAAAACCCACACTGCTCAAACTTCCTTACTTTTCCTAAAATTGGTATATTTATTTATTTTGGGGCGTGGGGAACGAAGAGAAAAAAATATATGAGCATTTTAGGAGCATGGGATTTTGACCCCTCATATACACATATGCATAATCAGTGTTGGGACTAACGCGTTACAAAGTAACACGTTACTGTAACGCCGTTATTTTTGGGCAGTAACTAGTACTCTAACGCACCACTTTTTAAATTCAGTAACTCAGTTACCTTTACTACATGGTGCGTTACTCCGTTAGTTTTTTTATATAGTCAACAGCCAGGCGAACAGAGATGAGAACTGTACTTAAGTACAGTACTTGAGTAAATGTACTTAGATACTTCCTGTGTCACATGCGGAGACGGGCTGTGGGCGTGTTTGTGTTGTTTACTAACAAGACTATCATGGCGGCGGCGGAGCTCAAGTCTAGTTTCTCCACCTGGAGATATTCTCACTATTTCACTTTTGTCGAGCACAAAGAAAAGAAAGTTTCTGTTAAATGTAAGTTGTGTCTTGGCGGGTCAAAGAGCCTATCTACTGCCCAAACCAGTCATTCAAATCTCTTAAAACATCTGCAAAAACAACATGCTGGGACGAAGCTAGTAACTAAGACCGGCACAGACCCAGGGCCGCCCCTGGCCAACTTGGGGCCCCAAGCGACATTGTGAGATGAGGCCCCCCCCCCCCCCCCAACCAACAGGAGTGAAAAAAAAACATTTTGGAAACAAAGTAGGCTACTTTGCAAATATAATTCCTGTTTATTATTATTATCAACACTTTTTTATACAGTGAGGTAAATGGCAAATGTGCATGTATGTCGTTCAGTATGCGTTTACAGGTGAATACGTCTGCATTTCCTGCCAAATACTAGCCTCAAAAAGATTAAAATATAATTAATGCAAATAAACTACTTCTACTAATAATAATAATAATCAATTCAATAATATAAATACTATATTATTTTATTATAATATAGTTGTAATATAGTCAAGACAAAACATGCTTATGACATGCTCAAAAACTGATATTTCTTAAATCTGTATTCAAACGTAGTTCCCTCTGTCAGCAATGTATCAACAACCACATACACATTTCTATCAGTATTTCTGTGTTGTGGTTGACATGATGATGACTGTTAGGAGTTAAGGGGAGAGGCTGAGCGTCACCATGAAATGTGCAAATTGACATAAAAATGAATATAAGGGGGAAAAATGCTCCATGTTTTTTAGGCTGTAAACTTTAACTGTTATGTAAGCCAACTAGACAGACAGTGTATCACTCTTCCTCCTGTACATTAGCAGATAAAAGGCATAACATACTTGAAGAATGTTAAATAAAGAATGCTGGAAATAACTGCATCTCCATTAGCCTATATGCTATGCAGAGACTGCCTTCTTCATGTCGTGAATTGCAGCTGATGTTTTAATATGGCAATTGGCAATTTGACTTATACAACATTCGCAAGTTGTACATTTGACTCACACAATAACCCACCTTCGAGTGATGCTCTAGTTTCTTCAAGTTTTTTTTTTTTTCCCTCTAGCTTGCGCCGGACTGAAACTGTCTTTTCACCGACATCTCTTCACCTGCACTAGTGACCGTATCAAAGCCGTGATTGGTCAGATGTCGATTCATTGCAACGGTGTCGGGTTACAGACGTGCTCCCCTTGTCACCTCTCACTCTCCCGTGTCAGCTGGGGGTGTGCGGAGAACTGAGCGGAGAACTGCGCACAGCAGCTGAGGCCCTCTGGGCGGGTCCCCCTGCGCAAGGCGGGGCCCCATGCAGCCTGCGTGATTGGCCTGTAGGGAGGGGCGGCCCTGCACAGACCCAAACTCATCCGACGCCACTCCACCTCCACCTAAGCAACAGCGGCTGGATTTTAACCAAGGGACTGCTAGCCAGGGAAAAGTCGATAAAGCCATTGCCCGGTATGT